TGGCCTTCGGGGAGGAGCTCCAGAACGGAGACTGGACCTACCAACTCCAGGTGATGCTGGAGACCCAGCCCCAGTGGGGGGACGTCTACACTTGCCAGGTGGGGCATGTCAGCCTGGAGGCCCCCATCACCGTCCAGTGGGGTAAGCCCCTCCCTCCTCTCCCTCCCCTCCTGCCCTGAGAAGAGGGAGGGACCCTCTCTGTGGGGGGAGCTGGAATGGACCCTCCTGGGGGAGGGTGGGCCTGATCCTCCTGCTCAGGTGAGGCTCCTTCTCCTTCCCCAGAGCCCCGTTCCTCCAGCTCTGCCAGGAGCAAACTCTGGACGGGCATCATGGGGGCTGTGATTGGAGCGGCCTTCCTAGCTGTGGGGCTCTTCTCCTACCTGAAGAGCAAGAAAGGTGAGTCTGGGGGGCTGGAGGAGAGGTTGTGGGGAGGGGACCATCTAGGGGAGGACTCTCATCGAGCTCAGGTGTCCAAGAGGGTCTCCTTGAGGAATAGTTTTGGGAACTTCTGTTCATCAAGGGGGCTATAAGGGAAGATTGTCCAACCTATTATGGGCTATCAGTGGGGAGGGGGACCCCCTGAATCCTCCAGCCCATGAAGGATCCTGATTGGCTCTTTTTCTCCTTCCAGCCACTCCCATCCAAACTCCTGCAGGTGAGTTTCTCCTCTTCCTCCCTCATCTCAGCCCCTCCTACAAGTTATAGGTGTTTCTTTAATATTTTTTTTAAATATCTCCTTTCTGTGGATACAGCAAATTTTTGGATGTTGGGCAGCTTTTCCTTACAGAGATCAGAAAAAAATATTGCAATCAAAAAGAAAAGAACACAAAAACGCTAAAATCTTGCGCATAATTTTTCCAAATGGCAAAAGGGAAGGGAAGGAGGGAAGGGAAGGGAAGGAGGATCCCAGGTTTACATTTCTCTCCCCCCCCCAATAGTTTGTAAGCCACCCACCCATCCTGTTAGGCTCAGTGTGGAGGGAGGTTCCTGAGGGGATTCAGGCATGGGGACAAATTCCACCCCTGTGGCTATTTTAAAAGGGGTGAGTCCCATGTTAATATGCACTGTGGTATTTTGGGCCACTTCAGCGAATGGCAGGTGATCTTCCCAGCTAGATTGCTGATAATTAACACAGCATCTCAGGTATTGTTCTCTAATAGCGTTAGTTCGTTCTGCAGCTCCGTCCGTACTCAGATGGAGGGTGGAGCTAAGCCCTTGAGAATGATGATCCTATCACCTTCATGAACTCCCTCCAAAACTCCACTGTGAACTGGACCCTTCCTCCCCACCCCAGTCCCAGATGATCCTTCTTGGCTCTCCATGGAGACTCATTTGGGTTCACTAGTCAGAACCTTGACAGGCTGTTCTTCCTGACCCCGCTTTTCCTTGTGGGAATTCACACAATTTCTGGCCAAGTGACCCCCAGGCTGCCCCCTTTTCTTCAACCCCCATCCTGGCCCCATGTCCTTTGCTCATATGAAATGTCTGCAGGGGGGAGGGAGGGGGGTCTCTCCTCTTGATTAACCCTCTAATTAAGACAAATAGGGAGAATCCCAGAATCCCCTGGAGATGAAATGGGGAGGAATCCCAGGTCCTTCCCAGCCTTTTCCTCCCTGAAATGGGCAGATTCTCCCTCTATTCGTCCCTGCCTGTCAATCACCCCCCTGCAGTGTGGGCCTGCCTTGGGGTTGGGGGGCTGAAAGGGAAGAAAAAAATGTTATTTACACAAAAAATGTATCTTTATATTCTAATTTTCTTCTCTGTCTCTTTTTCTGCAGCCCTCATGGATTAATCCTGCTCTCTGATGCAAAGGATATTTTTTTCTTTAGTAGCTGATGATTCTTTGTCCTGTTTGCAACCTCTGA